CAGAAACATCAGTTAACTGGACGAAATCAATGCGGGTCTATAATAATATAAAACAGACATCATCCAAAGCACTCACTCACGCACACTCAGTCAAACACAACAACACATACAAAAATCACACCCTAAAGATGGAAGTTCAGCAGAACAGTTACCATAAAAGTATTTATAGCAAACGCACGGAGATGCTATATCACGGCAGGGAGAAAGGGATTGAAGTCAAGATGCCAAGTCAGGTAAACGGTGAGACCTAGCTGCCAATCAAGTACTGTAAACCTGATTTACCAAAGAGGAAAGGCCGTCAAAACAATTACGTTGAAAATATTTATGAAAGAGACACAGAAAAACTACGTTACTGGATTTTTTTTTTTCAAATTTTAAATATTTAAAAAAAAATGCTACTTGCTCTATTCTGAGTTTTCATATTTTCTTAGACAATCCGTTTTATTCTTATGAAAATGTGACTGAAGCCGAGATGCCAGATCCGGACAACTAACGTTGCAGATTCTTATTTGGATTTTATCAAAAATCTCTAAATACTTAGCAGAAGCACCAGACAAGATGTAACAGCTACATTCAATGTATGAAAAAATATGTACGGTAGAGGCTGGCGAATCTATTTTGAACAAATGCTGGTTACGTTAAAAGAATGTCGCACTTCAAGACTTGTATTCGTAGAATGGATTCATAGAAACACAATAAATATGATATGGTAATAAAAATAAATAAATGTTAGTCGATTTAAAAGAAGGCCGACTAAAGAAAAGAAGGGATTTACATAAATGTAAATATTAAATGTAAATAAAAAAGTTTTCATGAAATGTTAGTCGGATTAAAAAAAAAGTTTGGATTAGAGAAATTTTGATACGATTATTATTATTTTCGGCTTTATTGAATCCATTCTTCAAAATTTGTCTCTTACTTTTTTTTTTCATTTCCTTTTGCCATTTACTTTCAGTCTTTCCTGCAATTCTTCTCCTCTTGGAGTTGTTTGTCTTTCTTTGCGACATTCTCTAAATCAAACGTCTCTCCTACTCACTCACCCACCCTTAGCATTGGCATAAAAGAGACATCACTGCTCTCTACCTGTCACACAAAAATATTTCTGACGTGATATTTCTGACAATGCTTTCTGGCATACCTATTCCCAACTGTTGATCAGGTACAAAGGCATTTCCAATTTTTATCCTTTTATGCCATCCTGGGACTACAATCTCTTTGCTTTGACGAGCCATTATCGAACAATAAAACTCAAAAATAAATAAATATAGCTAGCTAGCTAGCTAGATACATACATAGATACCGAATCTTCGGACAATTCCAGCGATATTCCTTTCGTGTTCAGAAAATCCTTCGTCTTATTGATATTCCTATAGAAACAAATATCCCGACACTGGGACCTTTTTCGTTTTGGCCTTTAAAATAGAATGATGCTGTTACATGTAGATTAGAGCTACCTAGTCTTCCCTTTCCAGTTTCAAGAGAGTCCAAATGCATCTCCGCATCCTTGTGGGTGATGAATTATTTTCCACCCTACAACCCCTTTTCCCATAGTCGAAAAGTGGCAAGCCTCTAGATATTCTGTTGATATTTCAATGGTAAATGATCGAACGATCTACATTCCCTTTTTCCACCAGTTCAGATCTTCACATTTCGGGACCCGACATGCAAACGTACATATATATCGTCATTCTTTTCGTAGTAAGTTCGACTCTTCTTCCATAGAACTGTCGCTTTGTTGAAGATACACCCAAGAGGATGTTTTCTTGATCTCTAGAATTTTAGCCTCTTCAAGTGGAGAATCAACTGTTATCTCACTTTGCCCCACCAGCCACAGGAAGCTCATTCAGTAACACTCTACCTTGAGTGAATATGGGGTCTGCGTAAAGCGCTCGTTTTCCTCTGAAAGAAATTAAAAATAAAAATGCGTATAAATAGAAAATAAGAAAAACGATGTAACTTTTAAAGACGGCCAACTGCAAGGTGCTCAGTTAAAAAGCGTTAAATTCAGAAAGACATGAGACAACCGTTGAAAACTGGTAACGGCTTATGTGTTTTGAACAATTCGGAGGTATTTTCAAAGTACGATATCTTGACGCTCAAAATCAGCGAGCTATTCGGCCATACGAAAAGAGCAGATCAAAAGACGAAAGTTGTCTGTAAATAACCTTTAAATATTTATTTAAACGTGAGACGCATGCTCTGCCGGTGGGGCATTGTAATATTTTGGTGGGATATGCGTAGGACGTTAACCCTTCGGCTTACTGTAGCAACAGAATAAGACGACAATTCCAGAATGAGTTATTAACAGTGGATTGTTTTCTAGTGTGTCTGATCGAGAGTGTTAATGTTAATGTGTGTTAATTTATACGATGCATATACAGTATGCATACATAAAAATATGTTGTGTCTATGTACGTACATATGTAATTGGCATACAGGGTATTTCCCGTCTCCCCACACTCTCGTGTTTCGGTCAACAAAGGCTATTTGTAGCAGACAT